TCTGAAATCCATCTGGTGCTCTGGGTGTTAAAGATGGAATAGAGTGTATCACACTGTGACATCCCACTTAGGGATTATACAGATTTTAGTAAAACTTGCTTGTATGACATTACAGTTGGGATATCCTGATGATTCATGAAGTCCTGTGGTTATTTCAGAAACAGAGAGCTTAAAATAAAACCACCCAGACCCCTTCTGCTCAGTTCTCACACAGCAGCCTGACAGCAGAAGATGTTTCACACTGGAATTGAGTTACAAAGCAGCCATGAATTTAATTTGAGGGGCACTGTATTGTTCCAGCCACTAAGGTGCTGTGATGCTAGGTGTCTGAAATAGTGCACAGTGAATAGGTAACTGTTGCTACAGTCTGGTTTAATGGTGTTGATTTTCAGATTGGGCCAGGTATAAAGCAGGGCTGCAGTAGGAGCTTGTCCTGGATGGGGTTCTTGGACAGTGGTGCCTTGAGGAAGGGTCTGCAGTATCTTCTCAGCTTTGGTATGGCTGCCTGGTGGGTTAGAAATTGTTGGTTTTGGCAGCAAACTGGTTAGCACATGTAACCTGAGAGTCTGGCAGGAGCTGGAGGTGATGGTGCAGCTGCTCCTTGGTCGGGCTTCTCCAGGAGAGACCAGAGCAGAGGTGACATATTTGTGGATTGAGATAGTTAACTAACAAGTATGCTGAGTGGCCACAGGTGATGTCCACATCTGGTGTTGGTGTGAAGGAAGGAGGTTTCTGAATGTGGTGTAGCTGTAGGTCTAGATGTGTTTCTAAGAGAGTCTGGAAAATTCAGCAGTAGAAGCAGACAATAGATAACTCACATAGCAACCAGGAGCAAACACTCATTTTGTGTGACAGCCCTGTTTGGAGAGAAATGGCACAAGTGGCTGTGCTGGATTTGACTGAAGGTGCATCCATGCTGTGAAATATCTACAGCCTGGGAAGATGAGATGTTTTCCACCTTCAGGAGGCTCCAGACCCTGCAGGAGTTGCTGGAGTACTCTGGAGCAAGCTTGATCTCTGTGCTGTGAGCTCGTTCCCTCTTGCTGCTGGATCAACCATGAAGAAGACGGAATGGCCTGAAGTTTTTTTGATGTCAAGGCTAACAGGACAGAGCTTCACGAGGCCAACATGTTGCTTAGGCCCAGCAGTAAGAGGG